ACATGATTAAAAGTAGTTATACTTGCACAAAAAGAATTTTAAAAATATCAAGCGTAAATAAGAAATAATTTAATTACTTCCTTTTAGCTACAATTTCCCACCTACAGAGGACACCAACCGGAAACGACGTACATTTATACCCACAAGACGAAGTACATGCTTCTTGCTGTCAAAAAATAAAACCCTATAAACTATGGATAGGGTACATCTAGATGAAACTATTGAAAACTAATTTACTGTTCAGTCTTATATCGACGAGCTTGTACGACACACTAGATTGTGTCGCTTTCAAAATTGGTCGATTGTTTCAATTTGTTTTCTAAATTCCATTCCCGTTAATGCAGGTAAAAATGAATCAATGTTGGCTTTCCTATGTCGGCCGACTTTGTAAAAAAAAAATAGAAAGAGAAATCGGCACACTTTACAGAATCAAAAGGAACCAACGTTGGCTTCCTTATGTCAGCCGACTTCATAAAAAAATGTCGGCACACTTTAAAGAACCCAAAATCAGTTTCCGGTTGGTATGCTTTGTAATAAAATAACCGTTGTATCTGATATCTTGTTGTTGTTGTTGGGCTTAACGCCATTTTTCAGCACACGATAGGCTATTCATGGCGGTTAGTATTAATGGTGGAGGAAGAAACCGGGAAATCACTGGAAAGAACCACCGACCCACGAGAAGCTACTGGCAAGCTTTCTCACATATCCACATTCGGCGAATCCTAGACTCGAACACACACAGACAGAGGTGAGATGGCAGTGATCCGTAATGGATAGCGCTTTAGACCACTCGGCCACTATCTGATATCTTGTCTGCAAGTTTAAGCCGCCAGTTGTGTTCATTCATGATCCGGGCTTCTATTTGTTTGCCATATATAATCATAACTGGAGTCAGTACGGTGAAATAGTATACACAACAATAATTTGCTTTAATAATACTTTTGTAACCCATTCTAGAAAACAGATTATCATTTTGACTCACAATGAATGTATTTTCAAATAATGGTTTTTTTTTTTATTTGCGAGATACCGTCTTATAGTTAATCTGGATACAAAAAAGTCTTGGTTTATTTTGCACCTTTTGACTTATCATGCTTGAATGGCAGGTTCCTTCAAGCAATCGGGTAATATTCTGGTCTCTTTTATCTGACATAGTCGATACACACTACAGCAAGGATGCGTACACCAGCCGGTATCCGCTATACATATACGGAGTTCGTGAACATATTTTTTCTTTAATAAATTTCGCAAGATGAAAAAAGAAGGAATAGGCCTAAATGATGCAACACAATGTTATTTTTGTCATTTTATTTTGAAAGATATGTTTAGTTTATCTATTTGTTTGTACCGTACAGTTGGGTGCACAAATTCAACACAAAAATTAGTTCCTTTCTTTTTTGTATTAAATAATGGAGCAAATATGATTGACGATATTGACTAGTAATGACAAGCTTACAGTTTACGCGCGTACACACGATAACATTAACTTGAAAGATATTAACAATCAATAAAATTAACTGGTAAGAGCTTCATATTGCAGCAAATAAACAGTGACAAAATGCTCAGCATTACTCTCTCTCTCTCTCTCTCTCTCTCTCTCTCTCTCTCTCTCTCTCTCTCTCTCTCTCTCTCTCTCTCTCTCTCTCTCTCTCTCATGTGTAATAGAGTGTTTATTATATGAAGCAGAGTTACAGACTGAAGTTTATTATATGCCGCAGTGTTACAACATGAAGCCTAATATATAAATATATGTGTTATACTATCTCATGCACTGTGTCGCCACTCTTAGAAAAAGTTATACGTATTCTGTATAATAATATCTCTTAAATATTATTGTATAAATCAATATCAATAATTTGACCGAAAGACTAAAATTGAGACTGTCATTGTGCAGATGCATATATTTTTAGCATAAAAAATGTATATAAATATTTTAATTAGAATGAGAAAGATATGTCAGTTTATGTTTTCTCTCATATATATGTACGTTACAAAGTTTGATATTTATTTATAAGAAAATCATGATAGTTTAATTTGTTTAAATTTATTCAATTTTTTCGTAAAGCCTATTCTATTTTACAGCCTATCACTGTCAAAACATTTTGTCCTCCTTAAATTATAATTGTTAAGTTGGGCTGATTTGTCATTCAGGTTGGGACGAATTGTCTTAATTTCGGCCCAAGTTGGAATGAATTGTCTTTGGGGCAAATTGACTATAATGCAGCATAAATGGAACAACTTTCCCATCCCCCACTATATTTGATCCCGCAGCTTTAATCCACTCTTTTCTGGTAAACATGGTCTTTCGGAGAAAGACAGAACCCATTTGTCCCACCATCACTCTTTTTGTTACATCGCATAATTTGAAGTTAACCAGTTTCTATGAACTCTTTGTAAAATATGTCAATTCATTTGTCCATCATGGAATATTTTTACATTTATCACGCCTTACTCTCACTTGATGCTTATCTAATATCAATATTCCAACCAGATGTATTGTTCAATATAATTGATAACTACTATCAAAATCTATTACGCTTTGAAATATTCAAAAGAAAGAATAAAGAGCTCATTTATGTTGGACAGTGTAACCATAATGTATAGAAAGCAACACATAAATTGTATAGAGTACAGGTACGTGGGATAGGGTCATTAGTAAAAAGACACAATCATTCCAAAGTTCAGTTTCAGTACATACTAATCTCAATAGTTCACAGCCTTTATCAGTTTTAATTCGAAGGCAAAAGTGTATCACTTATGCAATATATAACGTACCACAATCACATGATTCACGGAAAAATATAGTTATCACGGGTCCATTACAAAAAATAGATCCGATTGAATTGTCACTTGTAATTATCAACTTCCCTCCTCAATTCTATTATGGGAGCCACGATGTGGTCATTGATAATTCAAAGTTTTGCATTTCTTCTGTCATCAGAAAAAGCATAGGATTTTAGAGGAGTGGGAAAAAGATAATTTTAGTTTTATGCACACAGGAACAACAATCATATAGTACTGCAAACAAAAAACAATATTGTCGCAACAACGCTCAAAGCAACCCATTTATTCCAAACCGACTGTGAAAAAAAATACTTTCGTAAATTCAGTTGTCACTCAATGTACTAAATAATTCTTACAGTCAAGTGCTAATGATTAGGACAATATTGTCTAAAAACGAATTTTTTTTTCGTGAGAGACGTGAGAGACTCAGAGAGCTAACCCCACATATGACAAAACGGGACTACAACAAAGATCTAGCAGCGGAAACGATGCAAACAGCCAAGTAAGCAAACCGTACTGATCTTCCAAAATACATAGTAGACTAAAATGTGGAACGGATACCTTTCCTTCTTCACGTTCCGCCTAGATAATCGTCAAACTGGTTCCATTTGACCCCCCCCCCATGATGTGCTCAAGCCAAATGAATCGCTCTCTACAACTTAAAATTATTATTATTTTTTTTTAAAAAAAAACACCTTCAAAGTTAACACCACTCTAAAATCAGAAAACAGTTGGATAATCAATATATGGATGGATGGGTGTCTTTATGTGTAAAACTCGTTTACTTTTATAATATCTGAGAGATTTGTAACTTTAAACCCAAACGGAAGGTAATCTGTGGGGCTTTCTAGTCTTGCAAGGGTTTCCTTTCATCGTGATTTAATTTAACCATGACTTTAGTCCATACATAGAATTGTTTATGTACCTATATTTATAATGATTTCAGACAAGATCTATTTTGGATTACGTTATTGTGAACCAGCAAAAGACTGTTAGCACATCGCCACACTACAGGATACTGGCTCATTAACATATTTGAGATTACATTCACCTCAACACATTTAATATTGGAATTGAACTTGAAGACCATTGGAATTCAGTTGTAATTTTATACATTTGGACTTGTAATAAAACTTTCTGGACTATTTGGGATTTATTTCACAATACTGTAAAGTTCTTTTTAATTTTTGTCACTTCTATATTGTTGAAGAATAAATTATTTGTTGAAATTTACAAAGCACGACTTTGTTTGCCTATTTTACGATTTTTTAAATTGATTAGGAATTTTTAAACTAGTTTTGAATTTGGTGTGTATGTGTGTGTGTGATCAAGATTTTAACGTAGCTTTAACATTTTTAGTCATATCATGACGTAAGTATATTACTGGACAAAAATGTCTCGAAAAGGAACGCACAGAACAGTGATGTCAAGACTGCTTCTTAAACTTGAGCAATTATTCCAACAACAATGGCGGCTTCTATTAGGGTACGAATGCCTTTAGTTCTTTAATAAAATTCTGGGCATATGTTTACATTGTTACATAGTTCATACATCAAAGTTTAAAATGTGTTTCCATTGCTACACATTGCTGTACAATTTGCAATAATATTAGGTATCAGTACGATCAGTATCTTCTCATTAGTAAATATTGCTTCCGTGCTCTGCCTTTTATAAATTTAGAAAAGTCTCTGCTTATTGAAATTATGTTTTTATTCTTTTCACAAATTTGTATTTACCTAAAACAATCACTCTTCAGTCAGATGCATTTTTCTTAAGACAAATGTGCACGTAAGAAATGTAAATTTGTTTTATGGACTGAGTTTTCTTCATAAAACAGGCCCTAGTGGGTTAAATATCTCTCTGTTAGGTAGACATACAACGTAACGACACATCACCGGATATTTTTGCTCTGGTGGGTTATGGGTCATACAGCCTAACTAGCGGAACTTTGTAGTGTGTTTTGATGACGACTGGCAGTGTAATGAAAGTCAAAATTTTAAGAATATCACATAGTTGTCAACCATTAACGACGCTTTTCTACTCCGTTACGATGTCTACAGTGTGGCAATTTGTAATAATGTCTAGCATTGTGGTATCATGCCACAGACATGTAACATCATGTTCCACAAAGTCTCATTATCTTGACACCAGGCCGACTTCTTATTGCTGAGCAGCAAGTGAGGCAGGTGATAGTACCATTATCATAAGCCTTTGGTATTATTCGGCCAGGGTTTGAACCGGCGACCTCCCGCATCCAAGACGGGCGCTCTAACCATTCAAGCCACCAGAGAGGTCAGTTGTGAATTTAGAAATGTTTTATGGATCTGGCAAATGTACATAAAAATTTTCATCCAACCATCATTATGTTTTGACTAAGGGCTCGTGCCTCTTTCATCAGATAGAAGCATGTGTTGTTATTTAATTATGTAACTTAAACATCAGTGCTATTGAAATTTTCCTTTGCAATAACTTGGTTTTATATTAAAATTGGATCTTCCTGAAATGGAGCAAGAGTGGGGAGGGTAAATTTAGGCTCATACTTCTAAGTGTAATATCTCAAGTCGTGTTAAGAAACTCTTCAACAGAATTGCCGATTTCACTATTAAGAGACAATTAATCATTACACTATTTGAGGTAGTCTGTCTGCAAACGGTGAAAGTGATTTGATTTGACAACAGGTCTTAACTGGTTTAGCTTACATCACTACCCGTTTCATTGTGGACTTTTGTCGTCTGCAATGACAACAAGTTTAGCCTACACCACTCCACGTTTCGTTGTGCAATTTGTCGTCTGAAATGACATGCCTCTTAGAGAATCTTTTGAAAAATTAAATAAAGAAAAAGGATGACTGATATATGTCTTCGGTTGAGAATCACATAAATTTCTAAATTTTCAGCGATGCAAAGAGACCTAAATACAACGAAATCTATAATGCTTTTTAAATACTAAATTTGCTATGTAAGTGCGATAGACAAATATTTAAAATCCGCCCCTTACAATTTGCAGCATACACACAGTATGATGGGTCATTGTTTGCCGCCAAAAGAAAAAAAAATATTAGTTATTGCATGTCGATTAGTCCCATTAGTATTCATAGCGATTTTGACGTGAAGCAATGGCAGTAACAACAGACGCAGCAACAAAAGTTATTATTGTTTGCTACTCTTTAATCTTCACTTCTCCCCTTCTCTTGATTTTTCTACGTTCTGCTCTGCTTCATCAGCACAGCAACCGTCATTATTATTATAGAGGCATCACCAACACTATCATCAACATGCGAGGACCTGCAAATGATGTTTTACAAGAAACATTCATGCTACATAAAATCACTGGGAAAAATATCACGCTGATTTTTCACTTTATTGCAAATCGCTTTATTATTTGGCTGCTATTATCCACTGAGAAGACAGCGAGATCTGGCAACTTTTGTCAATTTCTCTGAGTCCATACATGGTATTTCTACAACAATGTTTTCATTCTCTTTGGATTTAAACAGTATTTTTCAAATTTAAATTCTTCGCACCCTCCTATTTAAGACCAAACACTTTTTATGCACATCCCTATAGGCATCATAAAATTACGCCATACTTTATACTTTACAATGCCATGTAGCTGTCATGGATTTTGGAAGCTTGAACATCCCTTTTACGAGGACGCATCACTGTGGTCGTTGAGATACAATGATCACATCTCATCGTTAAATTAGATCCAGTCCCATCGTTAAATTATAATAAATTGTTTAGTCTCAGGCCTTTATCAAGTTTGATTTGTGCGCTGCATTTTGCACACGACAAACTTGAGTTCTAGTGCAATCTACAAGATAGTATAATCGCATAATTCCTGGAAAGATACGATAGTTTTCCGGGGGCCAGGTACCTAAAGACGCGTTATATATGTGACCTGATTGGATTTCTATCTGCATTCGTTTTTTCCACTTTGTAATTCTGACATGTGAGACATCATGTGGGTACTAATTTTTGGCTTTGCATTTCTTCTGCAGTCAAGCGAGGGGTCGCATTTTAGAGGGGCGATTATTAGTTGGAAACCCACTACAAATTATCATGAGGTATGTCAGCTCTATTGGGGATAGCTTGGCCATCATTTTCATAAATCCATGCATGAAATGTTATTTTCTGAAACTTTCTGTTTTTGGGTGTTCTCATTGGATACCTATATCGTTTCACCAAATCATTAGCAATCACAGCTGAAATATTTTCTCTTTTCTTAACCGGGAATAATATCGATTTATTACAATTTTCCTACTGACATATTTTAATGTATGTGCTAAAACATACTTAAATATACTTACAATGAAATAAAATCCCTGCAAAACGGATGGGTCTACGGAATGCCTTCCATTTAACATTTATACGTATTATATTTGCCGTGTGTTTTTTAAAAGTACAATGATTGTTTAACATATCAAGTCATCCATGTAAGTAATTTTTTGGGTGATACTAGCGCAAAAGGCGTGTTTCTGTTCATGGCATTAAAATAATAATTACCTATCCAGATGTTGACCTGGTGATTAAAATTCTAGAACTCCGAATATTTCACAGTTAAGTCAGAATCTGAGATAAAAGAATCAATAAAAAATACGTTTTTAGAGAAGTCAATAAAATCAATTTTAAACACATTACGTGCCGACAAAAACTTCTATCGAATTTCAATAAAACAAAGTAATTGTATATTAAATAATGACTTCACCAATACGATATGTTATTTAACGAATAAAATCACATTTGGTGTGATAAAATTGTTGTTACAATGTTATTAAAATGTTAAACATCGTTTAATGTAATTTTAAGTTTAGATTATTATTATTATTATTATTATTATTATTATTATTATTATTATTATTATTATTATTATTATTATTATTATTATTATTATTATTATTATTAATAGTAGTAGTAGTAGTAGTAGTAGTAATAGTAGTAGTAGTAGTAATAGTAGCATTATTATACATTGCATAATCTACCATGGTGAATTTTAAATTTGAATCTACAAAGTTAAATACCCTCCTAATTTGAGAGATGACCAAGCTTTCATACAATTTGTAGCTTTGTCAAAATTTTTATCTCTGTCATTATGTCTCTTTACGTAGCAAGGGAGTGTTGGAGTGGATTAGGATGCTCTGCTTTAGAGATCACTGACATCTCACATCGGTCCGCGTGAGTTCGAGTCTCGGGCTCTGCCATTGCAGGCATGTGAGAAAGGTTGACAGTAGCTTCCCGTCGGTCGGCGGTTCTTTCCCGGGATTTCTCTGGTTCTTTCTCTACCATATACTGGCTACCATGTATAGCCTATAATGTGCTGAAAAATGACCTTAAGCCTACATCAACGACCACTCTTTACAGCCGAGACTTATGTAAGAACATCTTTTAAGACGCGATGTCTGTGATGTTATTTTTGATTACACGATAATTTTGAAAACCTGGTCTTACCTTAAGTGGTCAGGATACTCGAATATTTAATATTAAACCATTATTAGCATTTTTAAAGCGCTTGCCCACTATTATTTGAACGAACGATCAAAACCCATTTATATATGGTACAATGCTCGGGGTTTTACTAAGGAAGGTTTGTGTACCTGTTTATAACTACGTCTTAGAATGTGTTTATAAGATGACGTGATTTTGTAACTTGACAAAGTTTTAATGAAAAAGGTGTTTGATGAAGAGTAATATCACCAATACTCAGGCATGCATTATAAAGTGTCAATCTGAATAATATTTATTGCAATGTAAAAAATGTTAAATGCAAATTCTACGTAAAAGGAACAGACTGCTATCAGAAATGAATTATAAGGAAATAGAATATCAAGTGCGTCAGTTCTCAAGAATATCATCATAGCAAAACGTGTTCCAAATAAGCATATAACAGTATTGTTATATTATTTTGAAGCTAATCGTCTTCAAACGATTCTCTAGTTCTGTATTTTGGAATTAAATGCCAAATAAATTACCAATATTCCGAAAATGCTTAATAATTAAACGTTATAAACTAATAGCAAAATGATATGCAATCAAAGCATTTTATTGAATGTTCGTTCTAAAAACTAAAATGCTACTATCTGTAATTTAAAACGTATTTTGTTTCTAAATCATTAGCAGGCATCCGATTGGGAGCAAACCGTTTCTCCAAAAGTCAGTCCTATAGTTATAAATTCTAAATAAAAAGTAATCAATCCATGGCACACCATATTTATAAATTATTATTATTTAAAAATAAAACGTGAAGTTAATGAAATACTTCCTAAATATGATTCTTCTAAAATGTTAACTGTATTAAGGAACTTAGAAAAAAGTCTCTAAACTAAGACAGCTAATTTCTCTGACCTGGAAAAAAAGAAGTAAAGCCTGAAGTCTGCAACGTAGCAATTCCGACTATTCTGTCAAGAGAGGAATGTATATATATATATATATATATATATATATATATATATATATATATATATATATATATATATATATATATATATATATATAGTTTGTTTTTTACGCTGATAGACACATGCTTTGTCCTTGATATGTCATTGCTTATAACACCTATCTTCAAATTTCGTGTTCTTGGATACTAGAAAACTGCTCGTACTTCTGAAGAACTCCAAAAAGTTCTCCATTTTTTATTCCGCTTCCGGGAATAATTTGCCTTGTCAAAAAATTGCTTACAGGGCAGAACTTAGATTATGACTGCAATAATTTATCTTTATACGCCTGTGACGCAAGCAGCTGGGAATATTGCTGACGAAAATATTTATTTTACGTATGTTCGATCTCCGGCCGAGTCATACCAACGACGTACAAAAATGGTACTAACAGCTGCATCGCTTGGCACTCAGCATTAAGAGTTTAGGGTTAGGACTGGTCGGCCTGGTGTCAGGATAATTTGAGTGAGTGGGACATCATGATACATGTCTGCGGCATGATGCCCCTGTGCTAGACATTGATTTAAACTGCCACATTGCATACATCGTAGTGATATGACTTAATTTTTTTAAAGCTACTTTTAAAATTTAAAACTCTCTCTCTCTCTCTCTCTCTCTCTCTCTCTCTCTCTCTCTCTCACACACACACACACACACACACACACACATACACACACAGACGCGTATGAACTGTATTGCTACCATTCTTTATTGGAATATACAAGAAACACAATAATATATTTTTTTTTGTAATATACAAATGCTATAATGCGTAAGAACAATAGTAATCTCTACTATTTAAATATATACAATCGAGGTTACGATAACACAATTCTAACAATCCTAGCCTTTATTGTAGGT